GGCGAGGGGCGCCGGGCGCCGGGCGGCGGGGCGCGGGCACAACAGGAAGTCGCGCCGGGAGCCGCCCGGCCCGGCCCCGCGCCGTGCGCCGCCCCGCTCCGGCTCCGCTTGGCCGCCGCCGCCGGGGGCGCTGTGCGCGGGGAGACCGGGCTGCTGGGGACGCGGGGCCGGGGCGCCGTGCGCGGGGGCCGGGGCGCCCGCGACTCAGTGAGTGGGGAGACCGAGGAGCCGGAGGGCTGACAGCGCGGCTGGGGGCCGTGAGCCCGGGCGCTGTCCGTGGGCCCGGGGGTGCTGTGCGCTGGGCTGCGACCGTGAACCAGGTGCGATGCGTGGGACCGGAGCGGCCGCTGTGTGCAGGTGACCCCGGCACTGGGCTGGAGGAAGGGGAAGGCGCGGGGACCCGGGCGCGCTGGAGGTTCCTCGGGCACCCACTGCTGGGACACCTGGGTCAGGGAACTGTTACTCGTCCGTTCCAGAACCTCGGGCCTGGAGAAAAATGCAATGATTCCCATCACCCTGACCCGTTCCCCTGTGAGACCAGTGGTCTGTTATGTGCCAGGAGGGGCATGGTGGTGGCTCTGGAACCTTGAGACTGTACCCTCAGATGTATGAGGCTTCTTAGATTGAAATTAAATAGAATTAGAAGTTCAGGTTCTCTGTTGCACTAGCCCTATTTCAGGGTCTCCATGTATGTTTGGAGGGTCATGTCAGGCTAGTGGGGCTTCCTCAGTGGCTCAGTGGTAAAGAATCTGCCCCCCAATACAGGAGATGGCAGGTTTGATCCCTGGGTCGGAAAGTTCCCCAGGAGAAAGAAATGACAACCTATCCCGGGGTTCAGGTCCTGGAGAATCCCATGGACAGAGGAGCCAGGTGGACTACAGTCCATGGTGTTGCGGAGTTGGACACGACTGAGCAAGCATGCACGCATCAGGTTAGTAGCACCATACTGGTCAGAGCAGGTATTTCATCATCAGAGAAAGTCCTGTTGGACTCTGCTGCCTTCAGGGCCGTCCGGGCCCTGTAGGATGATTGTTTAGGAGGTGAGTGCTGGGCAGTCACAAGACCTGGCCAGCCTGTCACCCCACTCTCGCCCAGGCCCGTCCAGACACTTGGGCCCGAGGGGTTGCTGGAGACCAGTGAGGATGCTCAGAGACCAGCATTGGGTGGGTCTCAAATCCATGAACGAGAGGGGCCGCCATCATCATGGGAGAATTGAGGTCCTCAGGGAGACGGGACCTTCTGGCCTGGAGTCCCACCCACCGCTCTCCCTGCTCCGTGTCTGTGGCACAGTTGGGGCCTGATGCACGCTGCACTCGACCTTGATGGCATCCCTGAGGGGTGTTTAATCGCTTTGGACTCAGTATCTCCATTTGTCACTCGTGTGGGCAGGGTGGGACGGCTGAGCTGAGGACCCATGTTCACGGAGTCAGCACCCGCACTGAGGCATCTCTTCAACTTGCCCTGTGTCATTTTAGCCTCAGGGACACAAGCTCCTGTCGGGGCCCCCACCGCAAACTCACCAGCCACTTAGAGGAAGAGGTTCAGCCCTGCATCCGAGACTCAAGACAGGGGAGAACTGGGTCTGATCAGTCTTCAGTGCCTTTAGGGGGCCCAGCGCCTGCCCAGAGGCCAAGGGCAGAGTGTTTTAGATGGCACTCCCAGCGTGAGCAGCCTCTTGGAGCCATCCTTTCCCCTCTCCCAGCCAGCGGGGCTGAGGCTGGAAGACCATCAGGGACTGCGTGCGGGCACCCACACCGGCCTGCCCTAAGCACCTGCAGGCACATCTGCTAGCCCCCTGCGCAGGCTAGGTTAACCTCAGGGGGCTTCTTGCCCTCCTGCTGCCCTGGCCTTTGGGAGCAGGGGTTGGGTCCCGTCCCTTCTCTCCTGGAGGGCCCTGGGCACCTCCCGGTGGCCTGTCCCACACACAGGACCGGTGGGGTAGGTGGTCATGTAGGTCCGGAGGAGCTGTTAGTTCCTCCCTGGGCCATGCCTTCCACCCCACGATTTTATAAGGAACCAACACCAGTCAGTCTGAAGGAGCAAACAGATGTTTTGCAGCACTAAAGGCAGCCCACCAAGGCACTTGTGAACTGTGAAGGCACAGTGGTCGTCTCCACTCTCCACCTCGTCCCTGTCAGCAGAGGACGGTGCCTTCGGTGTTGGGGGTCGGGGGCGCTGCTTTGCTGACAGAGGTCCAGGGTGCAATGTACCCTCCTCCCCCATTCCACGTGGGGGAGAGGAGCCGGGAGGGTGGGACTGCTGGAGGCTGGGGTTTCTCCCATAGGAATTTTCATACACCAGCTTTTTAAAAAATATTATTTTATTTTTTTTGACTGTGGCGGGCCTTTGCTGCTGCCGAGTCGTGCTGGCGGGGGTTGATCTTCTTGCGGTGTGCAGGCTTCTCACTGCAGTGGCTTCTCTTGTGGAGAAGAGGCTGTAAAGCACAGGCCTCCGCAGTTCTGTGGCGCACGGGCTTTGCTGCCCCGTGGGATGTGGGATCATCCTGGACCAGTGTCCCTTGCATTGCAAGGTGCAGTCTTAACCACTGGACCGCCAGGGAAGCCCCATACACCAGCCTGTGGATGGTCCAACCCTGACTGGCTTGGTAGGCGGAAGCATCTGCACCCAGCCTTCTCCCCATGAACACAGACTGGGTGCCACTGTTCAAGTGTGCGGGCACCGGGAGGGGAGCGGGTCCCTGGCCTCATCTGTTAGCAGGTGGACACGGCGGTGGGAGGGCTTCCAGGAGGCCTGTGGGGGTCAGGTGGGGGCTGTGCTGTCCCTGGGACAGAGGTCCGAGGCATGCCTGGCCTCTGGCGGCAGGCAGACGTGAACGGTTCTCCAACTGGAGCTGGGAGACCGAGGCCTGGCCCGGGCTCTGACACCCCTGCACCCGTGTCACCCGGGGCCACGTCAGCAGGTCAGGGGGTGTGCAGCACCAGGAGCACACAGGGAAAAGATCTGGGCTCAGGTCCTGGCTGTAGACCTCCCAGCTGGGCAAACACCACTCAGCTCACCTGAGGGCACAGATGGAGCCGCAGCGGCCTCACCTGCCACGCGGAGACAACGGCAGGCGCTTGTTTACAGGTAGATGGGAAAGCAACATGAGCTGTGAGGGGCCTGCGGGGAGTAGGTGGCAGCTGGCGAGCCCTCCATAAAGGTGGCAGAAGTCAGGTTATGACGAGGGCTGTGGCTCTTAGAGATGGGCGCCACTGATGCGTGGCACTGCACAGGGCTGGGTGCTGACCTGCAGGGGGTGGGGCATGCTCTGAGCCAGGGGCCATCATGCTGGCAGAGCAGGAGCAGGAAGGCTGGGGAGGACGAGGCCCCTTCACAACCGCCCCAGGGCCTTGCTCACAGCTCAGGCTCCCAAGCTTCACCCTTTGGGCTTTGCTTGGTCAGAGGTTTTCATCTGCAGGTAGGATGCTTCCGTCTGGGACACACCTGCACGGAGGTTGAGACCCCACTTAGCCAGTTGGGGGTCCTCAAGGCACACATCAGAGTTGCTCTGCTCAATGACTGACACTTTTTTTTTGGGGGGGGGTGCTGTGAGGCTTGCAGGATCCTAGTTCCCCGACCAGGGACTGACCCCAGGCCTCAGCAGTGAAAACGCCGAGTCCTAAGCACTAGACCTCCAGGAAACTCCCTGACCTTGACTCCGAAGGGGCAGCAGGGCTTTGCTGTGCTGGGACTCGGGGCACTGCGCTCATGCCGCTCAGGACTCCCGGGTTGTGCAGGAGACCACGGAGGGCACAGCACAGTGTAGGCAGGACCACTCGGCCCTTCGAGATGAAGGCTCCACACACCCCACTGGGAGGACCAGGACCCGGGGCACTGGCTGAGGGTCAAGGGAAATGATAAACACCAACTGCAGTATTTTATCCATTATTTTGTTATCTGTACACTGTATGTGTTAACCGGGGACTACATCATCTGTAATTCATGTATTATCCCTTTTTTCCTTTACTCTCTCCCCTTTATCTTATTTAGGGAGTGTTGAGGGTGATTAATTTTGTAGTACAGTCTTCAGGCTGTAGGATGCCCAGATGAGGTGCCTCTGAACCAGAGTAATCAATGCACTCAGACACATGGGTGGTCAGTGTGGTCTGGGCCTGACCTTGGCCGAAACCGGAAGGTCAGTAAGGTAGGAAGTGGGCGTGGGCACCGAGAGCCCCAAGGGAGCCCAAGCGGAGTCTGTCACAGAGCCTCGAACCCGCACCCGTGTGGCACAGCAGCTCCGAGTCTGTTTCGGAAAGCCACCGTGGCCTGAGCTGGTGGCAGGCTCGAATGTGGAAGGAAGCCAGGGGCAGGGTGGCAGGCCCTCGTGACTCCTGTGGTTTCCCCATCTCCTGACCTTGGCTCCCCGCCCTCCGCCTCTCCGTAGTAAATGTCTTTCTGGCTCAGTTTGCCCGAGTGGTTTTGATGTTCCTGATCAAGCCCTGTCTAGTAAACCTAAGGACCAGGGGAAGAACGGTTCCCCAGTTCTCTGCGAACATACCCCTACACTACCATCAAGCGGGGACAGAGAGCTTTGGGAAGCTGCAGAAAATAAAAACTCCGTGGGACGTGAGGCAGGAGAGGACGGCCCAGCCTCCCGTCAGTGCATGCACTACATCTTCCCACCTCGAGGATGCAGGAGACCCCCGAGCGTCCTACTTTGGGGTTGGTTGGTCGTCCTCCAGGGCTGACCGCTCAGGGCTCACTCGGGCCCGACGGCTCCCTGGGCAGGAGGGACCGCGACTGCAGGGCCTCCTCGTACTTCTGGAGCTGGGACCAGAAGCCCGGGTTGGGCTCGGCAACTGGGCGGGCGCTCTTCACTGTCTGCAAAGAAGAGGCTGCGGCTAGACCCCCGCGCAGTGCTCCCAGCGAGGTCCACAGACGCCCCGCCCCCATGGGCGCGCCCCGCCCCGCCCGGAAGTGTCTCCCCAGGCGGCGGAGCCCGTCGCTCCCGGAAGGTCCTGCCTCTCCCCGCCGGAAGTCCCGCCCTACCCGGAAGGCCCGCTCCAGGCTGAGGCCGCGGTGACGCATCAGGTAGGCGGTGCAGACGGCGGCCGAGCGGCTGCGGCCGTTCTTGCAGTAGACGAGGCAGGCGCCGCCGGCGCGCACCGCGGCTTCCATGGCGGCGCAGGTGGGCTCCAGGTGCGCTAGCAGGTCCTCCGCCGGGTCGTCGAACACGGGCACGCGCAGCTCGGCGATGCCGGGCGCGCCCGGGCCGGGCTGCTGGCGCGAGACGTTGACGCACAGGGTGACGCCCGCGCGCGCCAGCGGCTCTGGCGCGGCCGCGGCGCGCGAGCTCCCGAGGAAGAGCGAGGGGGCGACGCGCACGAAAGGCGGCGGGGGCGCCGTGGCGTCCGCGCGCCGTCCGGCCTGTTCCGGGTCCATGGCCGGCCCGGGAGTCTTAATTTGGGCAGCCGGGTGGCCGGCCGACGCCCCCGGGTCCCTCAGGCCGCCCCTCCCCATCCCGGGGCAGGCTCCTGGGGTGGGTGTGCGGGAGCGGCCACGCCTACAAGGCCCTGGCCGCCGCCTCATTGGCCAGGTCTGAGCGGGTGAGGCCTCCTCTGATTGGCTGGCGGTGGGGGTGCGGCCGTTAGCGTGGTCATCGGGAGAATCTGATTGGCCGCAGACATGTGGGCGGGTTCAGGTTCCTGGATTGAATAAGCCCTCACCTGTGCTGGAGGCCCGACCCGGGCTGGCTGAGAGGCGCGAGGTCTGAGAGCTTCGCACTAGCGGTTCTGTTGCACCGTGAGGGTTCCAGCTGGGTCGGGCAGCGGGCGGCCGGCTTCCGAGGCTGTGGCTGACGCACTGAGCCAGGGCCCTATCGCAGAGTCTCATCTGCGCACTGACCAGTCATTACTTCTCTTACAAGCGCATTTACCTGTTGAGATGCCCCTTCGGTTCAGTCGCTCAGTCGTGTCCAACTCTTTGCGACCCCGTGGACTGCAGCACTCCAGGCCTCCCTGTCCATCACCAACTCCTGGACCTACTCAAACTCATGTCCATCCAGTCGGTGATACCATCCAACCACCTCATCCTCTGTCGTCCCCTTCTCCTGCCTTCAATCTTTCCCAGCATCAGGGTCTTTTCAGACGAGTCAGTTCTTCGCATCAGGTGGCCAGAGTATTGGAGTTTCAGCTTCAGTATCAGTTCCTTCCCCTTAGTACAGCTTTATGTTTATTCCTTTATGTTCTCTGCTTCCTAATAAATTACTGTGTCATTTCTGCATTTTATTTTATTGTAAAACATGGATATATAAAATAAAGCTATTTACCCTTAGCATTTCCATTTTTCATAGACGAGTGTTTCTGTGATTTTTCCTCTTTTTTGGGTTATTACTGTAGCTTTAAAGAGTTACACAGTTTCCACCTAAGAAGACCTCTTCAACAGATTTTTCTGACGTCCAGTGTCTTTCAGGGGCTGGTTTCACTGAAAATTAGCTGTCTTGCAGTGTGTATGCATCTAGTTATTGGTGTTTCAATTCTATTCTAATAATACTGAAACATTTCTGATTTTCAATCTGTTGGACCAGAAATTTTTCTCCAGTGTAGGGATCCCCAACCTCCGGCCCATGGGCCAGTACCTCCTGCCAGCTCAGTGGCAGCATTAGGTTAGAAATAAAGGGCACAAGAAATGGAATGTGCTTGAATCATCCCAAACAAACCCCCAACCCCAGCCCATGGAAAACTTATCTTCCATGAAACTGGTCCCTGGTGCAGAAAAGGCTGGAGACCACTGCTCTAGTANCACACACACACATGAACACACACTACTCGTAAAATGAACCTCTGCAGTCTTTCTGGGTGACCTCCATTCTCTCCATTCCAGCCAAAGCTACCAAGCTTGCTAACTGTCAGATATTTTTTGCAACTTGGTGCTCTCTCTTGAGCTCAAGATTGAAATGTTAGTCTGTAACCAGGTATTCACTGGCTGCAGGTCCAGACGTCACCTACTTCCCAGCATCCATGTCCCTTTCTGTGCCCTAAGGAGGGATTCTGACTTTTCCTGAATGGGATTCTCATTTCCCCAGAGTTCACAGGAGCCATCCAGCTAGGTGGGAGTACTGGTCCCCCAGCTCCAGAATCAAGCTTCTGATGACACTCCAGTCAGTGACATCTATCCCCGTGATTGCTTTAGGGCAGGGTTTGGGCTGTCATATGAACCAAAGAGGACTTCCCTGGTGACTCAGGCAGTAAAAGCGTCTGCCTACAACTGGGAGACCCAGGTTTGATCCCTGGGTTGGGAAGATCCCCTGGAGAAGGAAATGGCAACCCATTCCAGTACTCTTGTCTTGAAAATCCCATGGACGGAGGAGCCTGGTAGGCTACTGTCCATGGGGTCACAAAGAGTCGGACACAACTGAGCGACTTCACTTTCCTTCATGAACCAAAGATGGGAGAGGGGCTTGGAAACCTGTCTTCTCCTTATGACCACAAAGGGAAACCAGCCTTGGATGAAACCACATGGAAGAAACCATCCTCAATGACACTTGGGTACTGAAGCAAACAAAACCTGAAGAGCCTCCAGCTTCTGGACTCTGGTTTCCTGAGCCAGCCAGTCATCCTTTACTGTCGGATGTTTGAGATGAGTTTTCTGTTCCAAGACCTTTTAACTGATAACCTCACACTCCTTTCACCACCTTGAGTTAATGAATGGGTAACATTCATCAAGTCCATTCTCTCCCTTGATAGCTATGTTTGTTTACAGGACACTCTTCTGGACTTGACACCATACTCGTGCAGGGAGCCTTCTAGCCTTTCTCACTGCAGCCAGAATACCCTTTTTAAAGCATTGAGTTTCTGAATGTTGGTCCTGATTCAGCAGGTCGGCAGGATCCATTAGTGGGCTGTAAAGGAAATCAGTCCTGAGTGTTCATTGGAAAGACTGATGCTGAAGCTGAAACTCCAATACTTTGCCCACCTGATGTGAAGAACTGACTCATTGGAAAAGACCCTGATGCTGGGGAAGATTGAAGGCAGGAGGAGAAGGGGACGTCAGAGGATGAGATGGTTGGATGGATCACCAACTCAATGGACATGAGTTTGGGTAGACTCCGGGAGTTGGTGATGGACAGGGAGGCCTGGTGTGCTGCAGTCCATGGGGTCGCAAAGAGTTGGACACAACTGAGTGACTGAACTGAAAACTTAACTCAAGATTCTTAGGTTGGGCATTTTTTTCAGTTGAAACCAGCTGCCCACTAGGCCTTGGCCCAGTGGTTCTCAAAGTGTGGTCCCAAATTTCAGCAGCATCTGGGAACATGGTAGGAATGCACACTCTCAGGGTCTCTATCTAGTCCGGACCTGCTGAACCAGAAGCTCTAGGAGTGAGACGCAGGAAGCTACATGTTACCATGCGCTCCAGTGATTCTGATACAAGATAAAAATCTAAGCATGATTTGGTCAATATAAAAAGCCACTTAAAAAAAAGAAAAGCTACTTAAAGCTTTTCTCTGTGGGTCAGCAGAGGCTTTGCTCTTAGCGCACTTGGCTCCGGGCTGTGCCTTCCAGTTTCCCTTCCTTTCTTCCTGTGAACTTAAAAACCCTTGAGAAACAATCTGCTGAAAGAATCCTTTTGGAATTTTTTAAAAGATTTTTTTCTCCCTTATATCCTTTACAGTTGTCTCACATGCATCTAATTTGATTGCAGTTTTATAAAGTGACTTTTGTTGACTTTTCCAAGCCTTCAGCTGAATTTTAATAGAAACATAACTCTGCTTCCCCATCCACATGTCATCAGTCATACTTCACTGAATTTCATAACTATGATAGGTTCAGCCAGCATTTTCAGATTTGCAAACACTGTGACTGGTAACATGAGCAACTAACATGCTGAAAACCAGTCGTCCTAAAGGTCAGTTTGCTGAATTTTTATGAAGTTTACCAATTCACCAAAAACTTTAAAAACTATTATTCTTGAATATTGTCAATAAATATTAACATATTGTTCCTATGAAAATTTTCTTTTTGGATATACTCTTTAGTATCATTGTAGGATTTGTATCAATTTATGGAAATAAGGCTTTTTAATCTTTGTTTTTTTTTAAAAAATACCAGTGTACATATACTTGTGAACATAAACAACATTTCAGCGTTTTATATTGTTTTTTCCAGTTTGTAGAAGCTCCCAGAACACCTTTTCCTTTGTGGCCACATGTTAGTATTTAGAATTGCTTTGTCAGTCTTCTGAAATTGTAAGGTTTGCTAAAAAATAGTTACCTGTTGTTTATAGAGTTTCATGTGAGTTGCCTGGGGCTTCCCCAGTGGCTCAGTGGTGAAGAATCTGCCTGCAACGCAGGAGGTGCAGGAGATGCTGGTTCCATCCCTGGACAGGGAAGATCCCCTGGAGGAGGAGATGGCAACCCCCTCCAGTATTCTTGCCTGGGCAATCCCATGGACAGGGAGCCTGGTGGGCTACAGTCTGTGGGGTCTCAAAGAGTTAGGACCAACAGAGTACAGCACAGCACCTGAGTTTCCTAGAATCAATGTAACAAAGAACTGCTTTTGAAGTGGTGTCGGAGAAGAATCTTGAGAGTTCCTTGGACTGCAAGAAAATCAGTCCTGAATATTCATTGGAAGGACTGATGGTGAAGCTGAAACTCCCAATGCTTTGGCCACCTGATGGGAAGAACTGACTCATTGGAAGCGACCCTAATGCCGGGAAAGATTGAAGGCAGGAGGAGAAGGGGACGGCAGAGGATGAGATGGTTGCATGGCATTACCAATTCGATGGACATGAGTTTGAGCAAGCTCCAGGAGATGGTGAAGGACAGGGAAGGCTGGCATGCTGCAGTCCATGGGGTCACAAAGAGTCAGACACAACTGAGCACCTGAACTGAACTGAGCTGAATGTAACAAAGCATCACAACCAACCAGTAGGCTTCAAACAAAAGAAATATATTTTTCTGTGTTTTGTCTGCAAATCCCCCTGTCCTTGTAAGGACACCAGTTGTTTGGTCTTTACTCAATTACATCTGTAAAGACACTATTTCCAAATAAGGTTCATTCTCAGGGGTTAGGACTTCAGTTTATCATTTGTGGGGCCGGGGGGCAGGGGGACCACTGTTCAACCCACAAGAGTTCAGTTCAGTTCAGTCGCTCAGTCATGTCCGACTCTTGCAACCCCATGAACCACAGCATGCCAGGCCTCCCTGTCCATCACCAACTCCCAGAGTTCACGCAAACCCATGTCCATTGAGTCAGTGATGCCATCCAACCATCTCATCCTCTGTCGTCCCCTTCTCCTCCTGCTCTCAGTCTTTCCCAGCATCAGGGTCTTTTCAAATNCTAACTGTTGCTTCTTGACCTGCTTACAGAGTTCTCAGGGGGCAGGTCAGGTGGTCTGGTATTCCCATCTCTTTAATAATTTTCCACAGTTTGTTGTGATCCACA